CAGGAAGGAACAAGGGAAAACAGGAGGTTTTCCCCGTGGACCGACCCGTGACGAGATCCTATTCCCGGGCCCGCAACACCTTCACTACTACAATATTCCAAAAGATATTGATTCTAGGGATGGCACCTAAAGGAAGACTTAAGTAGTTCAACAAACACTCACATCAAGCACACCCTAAGGTTTTGGCCATAGACCCTAGCTCTTCCTCCTCTATATTTAGTCCTACTATCAAACTCTTCCTCCAATTAACCTTCAAATTGGACATCCTCTAAAACAACCTCACCATCAACTTCAAGTTTTCAAACCATTGTCTGTTCTCGCCATCATAGAAAATAATAACATCATCAAGAAATTGTAAATGGGCCACCGCAATCCGGTCTCTTCCTACACTCCATCCTCTAATCAACTACATCCTATCTACCCTAGATATAAGTCTGCTCATCAGATTTGCAATAAGAGTAAACAAGGATGATGGATCATCTTGCCTTAGCCCTCTAATAGCTCCGAAGAAATCCTTCACAACTCCATTCACTATCACCAAGAAATGACAACTGTGTAAACACCCCTTGATATAAGTCTGCTCATCATAGGCTTTTTCAAGATCCAGTTTAACTACTACACCCTTTCCCCTAATCTTTTCCATTCCTTCAAACATTCATTTGCAGTGAGAATCCAATTTGTTATTTGTCTACCCTAAATGAAGGCCACTTGGGAACATGTGATAATGGAGGGGAGAATTTTCTTTATCCTCAAAGATAAGACCTTTGCAACAGTTTTGTATATGTTGGTAACCAAACTAATTGGCCTAAAGTCTTTGGGATGGCAAGCATCAGTCTTCTTGGGGATCAAAGTGAAAAAAGTCGCATTAGCTACCGGATTAATGACCCCACGATTATGGAATAAACTAAGCACCCTAAAGAAGTCATCTTTTAAAACGCACCAACAATCATGATAGAAGGCCATGGTAAAACCATTAGGATCCGATGCCCTTTGATCTAACCATCGAAAATAATGCTTCCTTTATTTCTTCCAATTAAAACCTCCTCTCCAACATAAAACAATGTCTCTCTTCCACTATATGCCAATCTAGACCCTCTATTTTCCACCCTCCAATAAAAGGCCGCTTATAAATCAATTCAAAGTGATCAACAAAGACTTTTGCAACATCCTCCTTTTTTTTTGATAAATTTTGCAATATCCTCCTATTAAGTAATTACCCTGCACTCCACCTCCAACATAGATACAAAGTTCTTCCTCCTACCATTTACCATTAGCGAGCATGGAAGCACCCTTTTTTAACATCTCCATCTAACCCTAGAACTCTGTCTCCAACTTATTTCTTCCCTCAATAGAATCTCTTCCGCTTCTTTATTTAGGCTCAATCTCTCCCTCCTCTCATCTTCATTTAACAAACCAAGCTCTTCCTATCTATTTCCTCTATTTGACCAAATCTTCGCTACTTTCCTCCAATCTTCTAAATGTAATATATTCTAATCTTTGATCTTTGCCTTCAAAGCCTACAACTTCCTTACGAATCTCTTTCCCTCCCAATTTGTTTGTTGTCCACCACTCCTCAACCTTCGACACAAAACATGGGTGTGTCAACCACATGTTCTTAAACTTAAATGGAGAGAGACCCTATGTTGTAAAAGCACAAGGCACAAAAAACACACAAAGGACATTTTGTGCCCGAGGTGCAAGGCACAAGGCAAGGCATGCGCCTTTTTGAAGCAAGGCAGAAAATTTAAAAAATAAAAAATATATATGCAAAAATTGCTAAAAATTAAAATAAATTAAGAAATTATTAAATAATATTAATTAAAAATGCAAAACTTTGATTTTAAATTAAATATTTTAAAAATCTTATTAGCTCAAATTAAACTACATAACCATAACATATTGTAGGTTGAAGGGTAAGGCTATTGTGGGGGTCTACCTAAAGGATGGTAGATGATTGGGGGGTCGAGTGAGGATGTAAGGGCAAAGGCTAGGAAAAGGAGAGGAAGACACTGAAAGAGGCAGAAATCTGGAATGCTAAGACTCTCACAGTGATCTAATGGATGATCTCATGTGGAGGGCGTTGAGCCTCCCTTATTTATAAAGAAAGAAGGGCTAGCTATAGGAGGAAATGAGGGAGAAGACGGAAGGAAGCTTTCCCACTTTCAGAAAGGTAGTCAGTTTGTTAGATCTAATACAAGTAAGCAACTCGGGGTTTTACCACATGTCCACAAGAATCTCCTAGGATTGGGAGTTCCTGCCCTTAAGTCTACATGTGAGCACATTCGTAACTACAGCCCCTTCTAGAAGCTCGCCCATAGTCACGTGGTGTGATGTCTCTCACAGAAATGTCTTAGTGTTTGGGAGTGGCATCACAAATGACTCAATGTTGTGGTTGCATCACGCGTTGTTTTAATAACCTTTTGCAATGTTGGGTTAGGTAGTAATGTGGATGTAATAATGCATAAACTTTATTGTGGATGCGGTGTTGGACATGTCTTGTGGTATTCTGTGATTCGTTACTCGCATTGTTGTGTCCTAAACTTTCTGTTGCCATCATAGTGTCTCCTCTTGTAGTCATGCTTACGCTCAAGGTGGCATCGCTACCAATGAAAGGATGGTACGATATCGCAAGTAGCATCGCAGCTTTTCTGGGGTTTGGGAGACATGTGAGTCTACTACAATTTTGGTTCTTGGTTATGCGATCACATTTGCTCTAGCAGTGGGCATAACCTTCATCGCAAGTTCTGTGATGGTTACCTTTATGTTATTATGACCTTCATCGCAGATTCTGCAATGGTTGCCTACATGTATTTACACATATAAAAGTGAAAATGCAAACAAACATAGCATATAAAACATATTCAAGTATGTTAAACTTTCAATTTCTTTATTTCTTTCATAATTGCACTATTTCAAATAGATAATATGATGTTAAACATACTTCATTCCTAATTCTATAAGCTGCCTTTGTACCAAGCCCCTTGAGGCAAGCCCAAACAAATCCATGTTAGCGTCTTAAATTCTTAATCCCTACAAAAAAATGGCTTTACAATTTTAACCTTTTAGAAAATATCTTTTATTAGGAAGAATGAGAGCACAAGATTTAACAAAGGCGTGTGAGATTGAGCTAATGCACAAAGTGCACTAGGCACACGTCTAGGCACACTAGGTATACACCTGTTCAAAGGGGCTGCTTCTAGGCCTATGCAAGGCACAAACCACCTAAAATGTACCTCACCTGTGCGCCTAGGCATGCCTTTTAAATCACAGGTCTAATAGTGATCTCAGATGGCATATTACCTCGACTTTGTGGTTAACCCTCAATGTCCACTAGTATAGTGTTATCTATTTATATTCCCCTATTCCAATGTTCAGTAGATACAATAATAGAAGGTCGATGCATTTTGTGAAGTGAAGATAATGATACTATTGGGTATGATTGGCTTGATTACTGTAAGATGTTCCTTCTTCAACCTGCTCTAGCACTTGGTACCACTTAAGCAATGGTCTTGATACCAAAACTGCTATTGCTGCTTCCTAGGACGAGTCACATAGATAATCACCACACATCACTTTTCTCATCAGAGATGCACTAATGAATGTTTCTTATTTTCTCTTATCCTCATCAATACTGTTTTTGTCTTCTCCCAAATGGACCTGGCACTGTCTATCTTCATGTCATCAACTAATGAATTCCTTTGGTGCATGTACATCTTCCATGTTAGTCCACCCTAGACCTTTCTTTCCCTTCCAACAAGAATATGAGTTCTCTACATTCCTGGGAGAAGAACTCTATAATTTTAAGGAATCTTCCATGGTAGTTATGTCCCATTCTGATTGTGTAGTAGCATGCAGCAACGAACCCATTTTTCTTAACTTTGCCTTCCTTTAGTGCCACCCTTCAAGGTTACAAAAATCCAGGGTATCTTTCTCCAGTATTATCCTCTTCTTTTCTTCCATATTTATAGTGTTGCTTCAGAGGATCCTTCGATTTCTTCATACAAACAGTTTGGCTTCAGTATACACTGGCCCCTTCCAAGGATACGTCAGCCAAAAGTCCTTTCTTTCAATTCTCTACTCGGCTTATTTGAAGACATAAATCATGGTTTTTATTCTTCTTCTCAACAAAAGTCTTTTGTTGTATCCCGGCTGTTTAAGTTTATGTTATAACAAAAAGAATTTGGGCAGTCATGTGTAATTTCTGCATCCCTGTCCAATTGTTGCTTCTAAAAGGGGAATGCACAAAACAATGAGAGTTCAGTGGGAGAGGAAATCAGATAATGGGCTGGCAGATTCTCTAGCTAAGCAAGGGGTACTTAGGGACAATTTATTTTTGGCACAATTGTAATATTGTAAAATTAGGGGTCGGGGGGAGAGAGGTTGCAGAAGATGAAACTGGTTTCCTGGAATGTGAGGGGGCTGAGAAAAGAAAGAAGAACAATAGTTAGGAATGTATTAAGAAAGATTGTGCCAGATGTAGTTCTACTGCAAGATTCGAAGTTGGAGGTTTTCAGTTTGAAAATAAAGAACGAAACTTGGGGTGATAATATTGGGGAATGGGCAGAGGAAGCAAGACCATTTCAGATTAACAGATTTTCAGCCAGAATCTGCTGCAGAAATTTTTTTGTACATGGCCGAAATTAAGAGGAAGCAAGAAAGACAAATATTGGAATCTGGACAAGATTGTAGCAGCTGTTAGCAACTCGATTGCAGACTGGGTTTGTCATCTCTAGAATTTAACCAAGTTTCTAGGGAGGATTTGGGGGACAAATTGGGAGATATTATTTGGATGGATTATTTTAATTCTTCTCCCTAGCAATACTGTTCTGTTTTGTTTGCAGGTGATTCCTTATCACCTTCTAGACGGCAATCTTTTCCCTTTTAATGAATTTTCTTTTTACCATCAAAAAAAAATATTGTTTGTTTTTTAGGCTGTAGCTTGCGCCTCTTGAAATTTTCATGCTGTATCCATTGATAGTTTTTACATAATCATAATGAAATTCTCCTTATTATTCATCAAAAAAGGGGAGTGCACAAAACACCTTCAATATCTACTCATTGATCATGTTAACCTTCACAGTAGGCCCCGAGTAGGAGAGTCACCAACCACTGAACCATTCCTTAGGACCCCTCATATCCAAGATTAACCAGTTTTCCCAAGAGCTAACACCATTAAAGTAAGGTTTAGTACCGTTTTAAGGGAAAAGGACCCCTCTTGTCACTTCTACTATTCTTACTATAGTTTTCTTAAGAAAAGATAATTTTCATTAACAAAAAGAGGGAAGGGTATACAGGATGTATAAGAAATACATCTCCAATAGATGTGCCTCTAAAAATACTAGAAACCTTCGCCCAGGATGTATAAGAAAAATAAGAGCTACACACCATTAAAGTAAGGTTTAGTACCGTTTTAAGGGAAAAGGACCCCTCTTGTCACTTCTACTATTCTTACTATAGTTTTCTTAAGAAAAGATAACTTTCATTAACAAAAAGAGGGAAGGGTATACAGGATGTATAAGAAATACATCTCCAATAGATGTGCCTCTAAAAATACTAGAAACCTTCGCCCAGGAGTTGATCCGGAAGATCACAGATCACCCTTCCTTTTAACTCTTCCAAGGTAGAACACTTATATTCAGAGATTCTTTCATTATGCTCCTGCCAAATGCACCACCATACCACATGGAGAATTGCCTTTCCATAAAGAGCACCTCTTTTACTCAAGGTAACCCAGGCCATTGCAAAAGGAATTCAGACACTGAGTTGGGAGGAACCCAGTGGAACTATTCTTAGTATAGTTGCTCTCAAAAAAAAAAAATTGTGTCAAGAGAGCTTGGCTGACTTTTATGTAATATCATTATCAGATTTGGGTCCACCCAATTATGGCTTCAATATTTGAAATCATGCATAACATGTTACATCAAGAAATTCAATAACATAAAGTACTGTGACCAGACATATACTGCAAGATATTCAATTATTGAAGTAGTAATTAATAAATGTGAAGTTATTATACCATCAAAACAAAATAGTGTACAGCCACTAAAGCACTGCAATAAAAAGCAGAAAATAAAAAAATAAAAAGAGGGACTAACCCATCCAGGAGGCAACTTTACAACAGTTGCAGGTTGAGTTGTTTGAGCTCCCAAATTCTGAAATTCATAATCACCAATAAATTATGAAAGAAATAAAAACATGTGTCTGGATGGTAGGTTGAATAAGTTGACATAATCATTAGTATTTAACTTGCAGTCAACTTTGGATAAAGGAAAAAAATTAGAAAAACAAATTTCATCAGAGCATGTAACTATAGATGGCAAGTACTTGCTTTGTCAGTTGTCACAGAACACCCTTTTGCTGTTTCATCTTTGAGAATACCCCTGGCTCTTAACTTCTGCTTGAGGTACTCAGGCAACTCTTTTGGAACAGAATTAGATTCTGATTCTTTCTCCACTTCAGGATTATTCTTGCCCTTTTCCTGGATTTCAAGCCCAGACACTCCTGAAGAATTAAAATTCATAAAGTGCGAATCAGCATCAGTGTAAACTCAAGGAAGCAAGCCAGTATTGGAAGAGGTTGGAACATACCAGATGTGGTAGTAGGCCTTGGGGCACCATAATAAGCACTTCCACCTGGGACACCATATCCATTCCCAATTTCTAGGTTGCCTGTAGTTAAAGAAAGAGTTAGCACTTCTATTTGGAAGATACATGGTATCAAAGCATTTAGAGGACAACCTGAATAATGATAAATAAGTTTTTTATTATTATTGTTATCATTTTTATTAACAACAAGATTAGGAGCAATTTATCAATATAATATGGGAGGATAATGGGATATTCCTGTATCTATAGTTTTTGTCATCATTATAAGGATACTCCTGGTCTTTTTACAAGGGATTTTTTTTATGAGTAACTGTCTAAATTTTATTGATAATGTGCAAAACTGTATAAACCTGTACAACACTGATTTCTTTTCATGTGGCTAGCCAGTCTAAATTATAATTACCCCCATTGGGGCATTAGACCAGAACATCTGATTACTTGTTGCCCCTTGTTTGGCCAGAGCATCTTCAAAGCTGTTTGCAAATCAAAGTACATAAGTGATACATACTCCAATCCACTTAATCAATTCTTTGATATCAATATGAGGTTGTTGATCCATTCGTTGGACAGGATTTTTGAACCTGAGAATCAATCTGGGCAAAAGTTGTTTAGCTGTGATAAACTTGGATCCAAGAGAGGAAGAAGGTCTAGCTATCTGGGTGTGTAGGGTGTTATCTTAACCTTTAAGCCATCTAGGTTTTCATTAGGCAGTAATCCTAGATCCCTTAGCTTTTGGAACCCAGTATGGGATTGATTCGAAATGGCTTATGTTGTGGAAGAGAAATTATATCTCTTTGGGGGAAGAACCACCCTAATCAAATCAACTTTAGCCTATCTGTCTGTTGATTTCCTTTCGATGTTCCCAGGTCCCAGTGAAAGTTGCAAAAAATTTAGAGAAGATTATGAGAGATTCCCTTTAGAAACCAAGTGAATTAAAAATGGCATCTTATTAATTAGGCCATGGTTTGTAAGAGAAAAAGGGACAAGGCTTGGGGTTAGGTGAACTAATCAGGAGAATATTTCATTGTTGAGAAAATGGTTATGGGGGTTTCCTATTGATGTTATAAGTTGTGGAATGTTGTAATCTTTTTTTTTTTTTTGAAAAGGTAAGGTAATTTATTAAAACAAGAACCAGTACAAGGGAGCCTATGCCATTAGAGGATGCCTAGAGCCACCACAATTACAGATACATCCAGTTCTGAGATCTAAATAACAGACTCAAATTCTGATTTTTAAACACCTCCATTGCCGACACCCAGGACAGAAGTTTACCCACAGCTTTCTGCACCATTTCCTCTGAAGGTTTAGCTTTGCCCTGAAAAATTCTGTTATTTCTTTCAATCCAGATAGTCCAAAGCACAGCAGATGGGATAGTCTTCCAAACCAAGATACCTTTCTTGCTGAGACCCTCAATCTGCCAACACAACAGCAGATCCTTCACAGAATTTGGCATTACCCAGCTGATTTCCAAAGCTTGAAGAAAATGCCTCCAAATATAATTCAAGACTGGGCAATGTAAGGCCAGATGTTCAGTAGTTTCTACCACGCCACCGCATAAGCCACATGACATGTCCGAAATCTGTATGCCACGTTTCACTAGATTAACTTTGGATAGACATTTATTTAAAGCCATTGTCCAGAGCAAAAACTTCACTTTAGAATGACTGATTGAGCTCCAAATCTGCCTAGTCGGAAAGTTTTCCTGACCTGAACTTGTCAACTTACTGAACATAGACTTTACAGAAAACCTGCTATCAGCTTCCCATTTCCATCTCCAAGCATCCTCCATGTTTGGGTCAATCCTCTGGTTCTGGAACAGGCCCAACAGAATTGCATACTCCTCAATATCCCAGTCAAAGAGGCGCCTCCTACAAGTTAAGTTCCAACTGAAAGAGTTACCATCCACATTGAAATTCTCAGCCACCAAGGAGTCCTGATTTACAGAAATTTGATACAAGAGAGTAAAGGCATCTTTCAGACACACTTCAGAACACCAAGAATCTTTCCAAAATTTAATTCTTTCCCCATTTCCCAAGTTGTA